TTCAGGGGATTGTGATCACTGAAGGAGAGTGGAGGTGGAGCCTGGCGTATCCGTGACAGATAAATCTCAGAATTATGAGGGGAAAAAAAGTCAGAATTGTGAGATTTATCCCATGACAAAAAATAAGCTTCCGTAACTACTGGTGCAGAAATTGGACTTTAATGTTAATTAATGTTTAATGTTTTTTTTAACAATTTCTTTATTGGCTGTAGTATAAAGTAACTGTATGTTGGTTGAGGTGTCCATGGTTTTCCACTCTTTGTCTGGATTTTAGCAATAGTCCAGCTGCACACAGCAGGTTGGGAGGCTGTTTATTATACAGTCCTGTCCATGTGGAGGCCCTTGAGATCTAGGCCAAAATGGCAAGACAAAAGCTAGTTGAGAATTCAGGGAAATGGCCTATAAACCTGAATGCTACAGTTTAATAGTGACACACTGAAACCCACATAGTCTACTCTACAGAAAGACTGACTAAAATGGCACATCTTTATATCTGTCTTGTCAGTGCTTGCCTTCCAACTCTTTTCTTTCTCAAATATGCCCTTTAAATGTCAGTCAACTGCCTTTTTTTCATTAAAGCTGAGATAAGGTTGGAAATATTTCAAGAGTCATGGCAATAACAGATGTGATTAGCTATTCATTTCAGGACTCAACGTTTTTTTTGCATGCTTTGACAAAAAATTATGTAATAACATATTCCTTTATTAAAAATATGACAATGTAAATAAAAGCTACTTTACCCATTATAGGATCATTTTAACATATGTGGTCAGACCACCAGTGAAAATAAACAGAACTTCATTGTCTAGGGAATGTTGTTTATTATTAGTTGTATTCTACAGGTCAGTCTTCGGCAGATGGTCAAACAGGGAAGTCTGGTTAGTATAGATCATTTGCTGATACAAGACCAGATTTACTGTTTCATTTTCAATGAATAAAGCAAGGAAACTGATTTGGGAGAAGCGTAAATGTGTGACAGACACTTTTTGATTAATGCAGGGGGAAATGAAAAACACATTTCAGTGTCTAAAGATGACAAAAAATGGAAATGTAGAAGCTGGTAAAATGTTGTAAATCACTGAGGATAGAGAAAACAGGTGCTAGTTTTTTACATCTGCCACAGGTGCTGTGGGTAATACTTGAGAAAATGTATTCAAAAATGTGTTACCTGTGAACAAAACCTGTTAAATAACAAGTAAACCATGTTATACTCACTAATAATTAATGCTTTTGTATTTATTGTTATTTTATTTTACATTTACAGCTTGATATGCTTTAGAATAGATTTTTAAAAAGTAAAATTAATTTGTTGAATGAACATCAGTGTTTTCCTACAAGTATCATGAAGATCTCAATTGCCTGAAACAAAGCTTTTTACAACACCTGAAAGGTATTTGCAAGGTCTTTAGGTCAAGGTAGCATGCATATACTAGGTCTTTAGGTCAGTTGCATGTCAGAGGAACAACTGCTCAGGGACCACTGGTAACATGTGCTAACCAGGTGGACTGGCCTGCATTGTATACTGTAGATTCATTGTTGAATGGTAGCTACATTCGCTTTCAAAACAGTGTCTGGAAAAACAGGTGCAAGCTTTGATGCTTCCCACTACACCAAAACAGTATTAATCCAATATGAGGTTGTTGCTGAAGCGTGTGCACACCCTTCAAAGTTCATTTTAAATTATACCAACAGAGGTCTTTGATTATAATCTTATCAAAGCACCTTTGACCTCACAACCTGTAAACATGTTTTCAGCCTCCCTGTTATTAAATTTAATCATGTCTCAGACATAACAAATTTGCAAGCTTAAAAGTAACAATTATATTTTTAAAGTCTTATTGGGCCCTCAGTACATTTCACAAATAATTACAAAAAAATATCAAATAACATATTGAATTAAACAACATTTTTTAAGTAGAAAGACTGAAATAATATTTTCTTTGTAAATATTTCTGCAATATTTTTAAATGCATCTTTCATATTTACTTATATAATATCAACACCTATTGGCGGGTTTTAGTATGGATATTCATGTAGGCCTACATGACATATACTGTATGTACAAAAATGTATTACACGCATAAACATACACATTTCTATGGGTTAAATACATATGTTAATATATGAAATTGTTCCAGTTTCTAAAAGGTTTTGTATGTTTTACTTCATATGATAGTAATTATATAAATGAAAATGTAATTATATATATATATATATCTATCATTAACGAATGTAATTATATATATATATATATATATATATCTATCATTAACGTATAGGTTTATTATAAAAAAAAAAAAACAATTCCATAGTATACTTAGGATTCCACCTTTAGTATTTCTCCAATAAAATTTGCACATTATGCTACCCATAGCCCTAGAACGTCGTCATACTGGAGTTTTGGAAAATTGAGGTTGACTCATGCTTAATGAGAGCCTGTTCAGTGTGCATCAAAGGTGATGGAGGATGAGCTCCCAAGTCTGCTCCATGTGCACTATTTCATTTGACCACAGCAGAAGTATATTGAAAGACCATTCAGTGTGACTGTGGTGTATGACTGGTCTGTGGCAAAGCGTGAGACATTTTAAAGAGAGGCCTGTTTTTTTTAACCACTCAGTCAGTTGTTAAAAGATTCTGACATCAGGTCACTGTGTTTAGAAGTTATTCTGCCATTAAATGAATGACATGTGGAGGTCACCGAACATTAATTGAAAATTAGTTGAGCATGTTGTTTGAAGAATGTGTAAATGTGATCTCTGAGAAAACCAGTCATTGTGGAACATTTTCAGTCTTGTTGCGTTTTACACACACACACACACACACACACACACACACACACACACACACACACACATATATATA